AGAGCACAGAAGATCTTGGTCAGATAAAGATTTATTAAGGAAAGTTTCTGTCAAACAAATGAACTGTATTGTAGTGGCAGCTGTAAAAAAGCCACTGCTGAGCAGCAAACAGGTGTTTGAAGCTACTGGAGTCTCAAGATCCTCTCCATGCAGACTGGCAGTTGTGTAAAGCTGCGTTTCAGTCACTGCTAACCAAACCTCACAAAGAGAAACCTGCACAGTGGCTGTAGAAACACATTTTCAAACTGTTTAGCGCCATGGTATTTATGCAAAACAATATTTTAATATTTTTTTATATAATTTGTCATGAATATAATCTTTATTCATATATTACTGCTATATTAATATTTGCAAGCATTTAATGGTTTAAATGAATTAGATGTGAATTATGTCTACAGTAATGTCTGCCCAATGCTTAAAATGTCAAAGTATTTCAACAGTTTCATCACAGAATTGGTAGCGTTATTTGTGTTTTTCATATCAAATCTCTGTAAACTGTGACTGTGCAGGAGGCCACTTTAAAGATTTTGAAATTAAGTATCACAATGTTCATTTCTGACTTCATTTTTATTCACATCACTGAAACCACACCAGCACACAATCTATGAATCTTCTCAGCAACATCCGCAGTCATTGAAACTGTTCTCATGAACGCCGCCATCAGCACTGCGGTTTCATTCGGACAGTAGTTGCTGCCATTCAGAGTTGATGTAAACTCATTCACCATCTCTGAAGGAAGCCAGTTTTCCGGGATTTCCATAGCACATTGTCCTACAGCACCATTTTTGATGTCCATATCAAGCTTTATAGTCACATCATCCACCACTATAGAAGAGCAAACACTGAATTTCGGAGTTCTGCCATAAATCCACTCCCACGTCTGCAGATCCTGTGCCATCTTATGAATGCCAGGCATGAGACCTTCATGAGTGGGGTCCACTGTGATGACTGGGCTGTCAAATCCAAATTCATTACTGTACTGGGAAGCAATAGCATCCATGATAGTGTTAGAGTCAAGAGTGGGATCCACATCCAAAAGGTTCTTGACAGGGGAAGGAACGCTTGGGGTAGCGTTGCTTTTGATAACTTCAGAAGTGTTACTCTTCAGGACTGAGGACAATATTGAACGGTCAACAGAACACAATAATGTACAGTGATGATAAGCAGAGGTCCTGCCTAATTTCGCAGCAGTGCCTGATATTTTGTAATGGCCATTTAACAAAATATCAAATCTGTCTGTCGCTGCGACATCTAGATCGGGTCTCAGTGCTTTTAATGCACTAGTAACGACTTTGAGGTTTCTGTGACGGTCGTATTTCTTCTTGGAGGTGAAGAAGGTCATGTTGATGTTTCCAAAATCATGGAAAACCGTTCCACCTCCACTGCGACGCCTCGCTAGCGGGATTCCCAAGCGTCTCATCAAGGGCAGGTTACACTCCTGCCAGGGGTTTTGATGCCTTCCTATGACAACCACGGGTGAATTTCTCCATAATAACAGCATGCTTCTGTTTTGCAGATCGACGCGATCGGGAATCCAGTCTTCTAAGGCCAGGTTCTCAAATATGCCAGTTGACGCAGATTTTAGGATGATACCAGCTTTTCCCATCTCATCGAAGTAGGTTGACAAAGTGCTTTTGAGGCGAGCTGATCCAGAGAGGACGCATGCCCTGTTTGACAGTCTCAAAACCATCGCTGACTTTTAATCTCTCCAAAAGTCTGTAAAACGTTTGGCCAATAATGCACATGGAATACGGATCTGCACAGTTTTTGCACTGTTTTTCCCACGCCTGCAGCAGCGGAACAACCGGGTCGACAGGATCCCGTTTCCTGTCAAAGCATAATAAAAGTCCTGTACGTTAAAATTTATAAACAAATTATGTGTTCTTTACGCAGGCGTTTTATCTCTCGTTTTTCAAAGTGTTCAACGTGATGTTCAAACTTGTTGGTTAAAGTCTCACTCTACGGCCAAAAAACAAAACAAAACAAAAAAACGAGTAGAATGAGTGAAATGCGGGTTCTACTGTGTTCGGAGCATAGACTTGTTCGGAGGTCTCCTTCTGTGGTCTCCCTATCACATTCAAATGATATTAAATAATACTTTATTCATTTTACTTAATAATATCATAATACTTTTACGTCTAGAATCTCAAAAAAAAAAAAAACTCAAATGCTAAAAAAACTGTGCTTTGCTCACATTTGGTGTCTGTCTCACTTGTAAGCAGTCTGTATATTTAAAGATCACCACTAGGTGGTACTAGTAGATAATTCCTTATGCATAATATAGTTTGACGGCTGTAATGTGATCACTACGAGATCCACGTTACTTCTCTCCAAGTAGTTAATGATTAAGATTCAGAATGAGATTAGGAAATTACTAAATTCAATCAGCATGAAATCAATTTGTTAAATGATGTTCATTTTGATCAGTTAACTCGTATCGTACCCGTGTCCTCTTAAGTTAATATCTGACTTATTCAGAGAATTTTATCGTCCTCGAAACAAACTGCTCTTATCTAAGCTCGGTTCCTGGCATAGATCAGAGTTAGTGATATTTAGATTTAGCTTGCTTAAATGTAGGATGGTTACTGAATAGTAGCGACTTTGACCTTATTACTTCACACCATATGTTGAAATATTACAACCGTGTGTTATAATTGTATATTAGTTCATCATAATTTCTTCAATAGAAGACTCAGTGAGCCACCCATGTGGTGTGGTTTGTATAGTCTAATAATAATCGTTTATCACTTCTTACATTTTCTTTTCAGGTGTTTCTGCAAAGACTAAATCATAAAACACATCAAGTACGTCATAAATTTAAGTCAGTAAACTGAAAACTTGGTAAATAACAATGGGGGAGGGAATCAGTGAAAGTCATTTTCCTCAATTCTGATTGGTTGGTTTGCCATCCCTGATTGGTTGTTGCACTGACTGGGAGGAGTCTACGCAGAGGTCTGAACGGATGTTTCCGGTTTGACCGGTGTTTGACAGATCAGGACGGACCGTCGCTTTCAGGTACGGTTATAAACCAAATATCATGCACAATTTACTGGTTGTCCGGATTATGTGAGAGAAGAGTGTATATGTAGTGTTAGTTTACCGTGAGAGTTTGCCGGTGGAGGTCGCAGACGGTGCGCCGAGGTCACCGCACAGCATCACCGGATCACTTTACAGCACTGAATGCGGACAGAAAACATCGAGACCTCACGGCTGAGTCATGGCTTTCAATAACACACACATCTGCGATCAGTTTATTAACGCTCATTGGTTTAGCTTGTTTGCTGGGACATGTTTGAACCCATGGTCAGCTGATGAGACACATCCATGTGATGCTGTTTCATTATTCCATCATCTGAGGATGTGTTCTGCGTTTCATATCACATGGTGATGAGCATAAATTATGTTTCATGGATCCTGGTTTCTCAGGTATATTATGCTATAGCAGCATGTGATAGTCTTTGGGCAGTGGAAGATACAAAGATCTGTATGCTGGACAAGCGAGCACTTTTAATGAATACATGTAGGATACAATTTAGTGTCCCATTACAGAGCAGAGGTGCTAATTCCATTAGCTGTTCATTTCCTGTTAGACAAAGTATTTATAAAATTAATGTAGCATGAAAAGTAGCTAGTTTTAAAGACACCAACGTTAAAATGGTGGTTTGTGTTCATCCCACCTTAAGAGAGCTTGACCTTCTTGGCTGTATCTGTTAATTAAAATCATACAAAATTGTCACAATTTTGCCATAATAGGCTGAATTGATGTTTAATTAATTACTAAACTAATCTGAATGACAAAAACATGAGTCCCGCTTTTAACATTTTTGCTGTATCATTTATGTATTTGAAATATTGTGAAAGTTGGTATATCATTCGAAATTATTATTCTTTTTTTTATGGCTAGAAAAACAGTTAAAAACTATATTTAGGCATTTCCCAAATTTTAGCTTATAAAAAAATTAGTGATGCATCGAAATGACTTTTTACAGAGACACCAAAGTCAAAATTAACATTTCTTTTTAGCTGAAAAACCAAAATAAAATGTGGGTAATTGGGAGACTGAACTCTTATGCTGTTCAGGGTGTCATGTACAGCTGAACAAATTTTGCATATCTCTACTCTGGCATTATTTGTGGTCATGGTGAAGTGTGTACGCTGATATGTGGTTTTGGCCCTCCAAACTATCTTGGCTGAAACTGGAAAATCAGTTTTTTCTCACTGTTTTGGCTTAACATTTTAGGTTGCTGAATTTTTAGGTTGCCAAAATTGAATAGCACCATCTTTCAAGGTTAAAGGGATAGTTCACCTCACCCAAAAATGAAAATTCTGTCATCATTTCCTCACCCCTCTTCTTTCTTCTGCTGAAAATTTGTCGGTCCCCACTGCGAATGGAAAAAAATATAATAGAACTCAATGGGATCAGAAACTTTTTGGTTACCAACATTCTTTAAAATATATTCATTGTGTTCAGCAGAAGAAAGAAATGCATATAAGTTTAGATTGGAACAACTTCTGGATGAATACATGATGAAGGAATTTTCATTTTTGGGTGGACTATCCCTTTAAGCACATCCTTTCACTGACTATTTATTGGAAATAAAAAAGTTAACATTTTACAGAGTTTCAGGCACTATTTTGTAAGTAGTAGCAGTTGTTCCAATCAAAGTCATGCTTGAGTTTATGCATGAGTCGTCTCTGTCGCACAGCAAAATCTGTATGCATAGAATTTGAAATCAAGGATGTTCACATTGTGTTTAATCTGTCAGTCACACTTCTTGACCACTGAACATGTCTAATATCGTGACGGTCTCAGCGTTGCAGCTTTGACGGTTCTTATTGACTCGTCGAGTGTTGTATTTGTCAGTTGGGGGCTTTAAATCAAAACTATGTCTGTAAGTGTGTATGTGGCCATCTTTTCTTCTTCTCTCATGCTTAAGGGTGCACAGTAAGAGCATTGTTAACCGAGGACAATGGCTATTAGAAGGTGCCCGTTAGTGAGCAACGAATACTAGCGTTTCAGCTTTTCTTTCTCTTCCCCCTGTCTTGCCCTATGGTTTCCATTCCCTCTCTTGTTATTCTATAGCGTGTTATTGAATGTCAGAGTTTTTCAGTGCTATCTGTGCCTATAATCAATCTGAATGTGATACAATCACTCACTACATCTCTTTCATCTGTATAAACAGTAAATCTCTCATATAGTCATTACCAGTGCATTTTATACACACTCAGAATCAGATGTGGATGAATCTGTGATCATCTCAGTAATCTAATCCTCTCTGTCCAGCCCCAATGATTTCAGTTGTTGGCCTCTGGACAGTGTGATGTCATCAGTGAATGGCTTTACTCAGTTTTTTAGGTGTAGATGGGAGGTGAACGTGTGTTTGTTGGAGGTTGTGTGTATGTGTGTGTGTGTGCTGAACGTGAAGGGCTTGTGTTGTTTGTTGCAGAGGTCAGCAAAATAAGCAGTGGTTCAGTGTACATGCAGTCTGCTCGTGCAACCCTGGATGTGAAAGGAACAATGATGTTATCAGTATAAAAATCACTCACACCGTACAGTCATATGTGTGTGTGTGTGTTTTATTGAGTGTCTGTCAGGGATGATGACATCAGTTTGGGGAGGGCTTGTGATTGGATAGAATTCTCTGCTGATTGTGATGTTTGACTGACCTGTTTTTGAGCACTGTTTACATTAACATTACTAATATGCAAACAATGTTTACATATTCTCTGTTTTAAAAAAACTTATTTTTTAAATACTGGCTGTACTTGTTTGTGTGTTTGTATGGTACACATTAAGGTACTGAATGTTATAATGACATTTATAAAATACTTTTATGTAGGTCAAGATATTATAAAATGTCAGTGTTATTTTAGTATCATTTACATTTATAGCATGTATAGCTTTTCATGTTTATATTGTCAGTTTAAGTTTTAGGAAATATATATATATTTCTATTAGATTTAATTATTTTTTATTTATGTTTTAGTTTGAGTAATTTTAGTACTTCAACTTATTTCTATTTCAGTTTAGTTACCAAGGCAGCATTTCTGGCAGTGTTATTTTATAGCATTTATAGCTTTTATTTGTATATTTTTAGTTTTCATTTTAATTTCAGTTTGAATTTTAGTAACTGTGTTAAATTGTGTTCAGCTATTTAATAAATGTGCTTTTGTTATTCAGTTTTAGTTTTAGTAATTTTAGTAATTAAACTTTGATTTAAGTTTAGTTGCCAAGGCAACATTTCTAATGATCATTTAAGATTTTTAAGTTAAAGTTTTTCATCTTATATTTATTTTAATTTCAGCTTAATTTCAATTAATAAAAGACTAGGATTAAGTTGTAACAATAACAGCACTGTAAAATGTTTTATACATAATTTAAAATATTAATGACAAATTTTTATTAAAAAATGATATTTTATAAGCAAATTACGTGGTATGCTGTAGTTCATATTGTGTATTTTAGCGTGGCTGAAAAGCTGTACTGTTCAATCATCATCCATGATCTGTTTAGGGCCCTATGAAATCTGTTTTATTTGTTCCCAAATTCCGTTTTTTCCCATTTTAATTTTTCTGGATTCCGTTTTTTCCACTTTAATTTTTCTAGACTAGACCGTTTTAATGGTTAAATTAAATTTTATTAATCAAAAGTATGTCTAATTAATTGAAATCATGAAACATATTTAACAGCAATTTATTAAAAGTTTAATAAAAATTAAATTTTTAATGCCCTATGAAAAGTGTTTTATTTTTTTATCAAATTGAGTTTTATTTTTACATTCTGCCTTCCATTCATTTTCTGAGTTCCATTTTAATGGTTTTGTTTAATTCTAATAAACTCTTAATTGATTTTATACAAAATAATTTATTATTATTATTTTTTTTTTTCTTTTCAGAAATACTGTGTTGTGTATTTACATTATTCTTCTAAATAAATTCTGGTAAATAATTTTTCTGGTAAATATTCCTTTATAAATAACGTTTTAATAGTAACTTTATTAGCAGTAGTACTAGCTATCATTACATTAAGTCTGTCACAGTTTCTTCAAGTTAAACCAAACTTTTATTTTGACTGGTTGCTGTGAAGACCTTTAAGTTTCTGCTTGTATATGATATGACGATATTTTTTCTCAAAATAAATGGTCAAATGCTCATGAAGTGAGCAGATCATGATCATATATTGAGGCGGCAGAGGCTGAAATCACCGCGGGCGTCGCACACGCTTCAGTATGTGTGTAGTAAACGAAACCGTGCATCTGTGCCATTCATTCACACAGAGACACGCAGAACATGCAGGATTAATATCTAAATAGTATTTTTGCAGTTTAATATTCACAGACACTAGTCCATATCGCGTTTTGATTTAAGTGTAATGACCTACTTTTGATTAATCTATCCAAAATTTGGCAAATTCTGTGACATTGTGTTATACAGTAAATTCCGTTTTTATGACTGGATTCCGCGATTCCGTCTGCATTTTTCACATAACGTAAATCATAGGGCCCTGTCTGTTTAATAATCTAGTACTATTTGATTTTATAATAAAATGTATCCACCTGTGTCCTGTAATGTGCATGGACTCAAACTGAATATGTTCATAGCAAGCTTTTTTTGGAGTCTGCAGTGATTCTTATTGAATGTGTGTGTGCTGCTGATCTGTGCATGTTGCATGAAGCCTGTTGTCTTGCCGTGTGTTGCAGCGCCTGTCGTTGATGGCTCAGCTGTGTGTTGAGGTAGAATGGGACAGAGCACATCGGGCCCAGAGTCCGCAGAACCTCCACAGGTGAGCAGCACCACCCTAATGCTTTACCTCACACTAGGGCTGTCAAAAACGTTGCATTCGAATTTAAGGTCTGCGTCAGCCGTCAGGCAGCCTTATCAGTGGCGCACGAGATGCGATGACGATGTATGTGTCATTGATTGCATTTGAATGCTTTTGTTAGCCTATCCAGTCGAGAATTAAAATCACAGTGGAATCTGTGTAGTGTAGGAAACTGTGTAGTGTAGTCCAATTCATAAGTGACTCTTATGAGCTGGTTCTTTTTTTAGTGAATCACAAACATACATTGTGAACAGTTCGATTCTTGAATAATTCTTATCAGTCGGTTCTTTTATTTGTTGGAAGAAAAGAAAGAAAGAAAGAAAGAAAGAAAAAGAAAGAAAGAAAAAGTCAGAATCATAATATTTATTAGCAGATAGAGAATATATTTTTATGTAAGCAAATTAGATATTAGAACTAAAATATACCCAGATGGTTTTCTTGAGCTGAACAACATTGTCTTAAAAACTGAAGTCTTATCATCTTGTTCTCCCAAGGTTTCTTGCTCTTTATGTACACTTCTTAGGGAGTTTTTCTTTGCCACTGTCATTCTTCTTTGTTTTGCTAGTGGAGTAAGGCAATGCACTTTGTAAAGCTGCTTGGAACGGTATGTATTAGGGCTGTCAAAAAAAAAATCGAATTTCGAATATTCGTCGAATAAAAAAAAAAAAAAATCCACATTCGAATGCAAAAACGTGAACCAACTAGATGCGGCGCTGCTATGTTGTTCATTCAATATATTGTGGAAAACGAGAGCATCAGTGTGGAGAAGATGTTGTTTACGTCAAAACTGAAACCAAGCCGTTCACACAGCACGCATATTTATCACATTTTCTAGAGGGACATCTATCAGCGTTGCACTCGCGTCTCGCAGAGAGCGGCATGTTTAGAAAGCCATGTAAAATTAATGCAAGTTCAACTTTTAAAAAACATGTCTAAAGACGTTTTGGCGGTTTCCCCCCAACATCTCATGTTTTTAAATGTAAAT